TATGTAGTTATGAAGAAATTCTTATAATTTTTGGTAGTTTTCAGTCTGATGATATGGATTATATCACAAATATGCCATTAAAATATGAACAATAAAGAAAAGTAGTAAAGGTCAGGGGTCTCATAGCATGAATCTACACCTTCCGTTTCAGGAAAAGTCGGGAAGGGACTGTTCTCGGGTACATGCATGTAAGATTTACCTTACCTATAGACATGTCTGTGTTAAGCTAAAAAACATGGTGAAAGACATCTGGGTACCAATTTTGTAACACTTTAACGTACACGTATTTATTTAAATGTTTTGAACCAAAACAAGAATGAAAGACACCAAACAAACAAAAAAATGATGTTGGCCTCTTTTTACACCTTTCGTTAGTCGTCTACTTTAAAATGTCCGTACAACTTTCGAGACAAATAAAAAGTACAATGTTACAACATATGTTCAAAATTGAACACAGAGGACAGAATTCAACCCCCAACCGTATCAAATTCCCTGGTCTGTCCGACCTATTTTTCATAGTCTATTTTCTTTTTTGGTCAAATTTACACAGTATTCTAATTGAAAAATGAAAATATAGTCTTAAAAGTAAACCTTTTATATAAAAAAACCCCCCACACCGACTAATCTTAGTGCGATTTTAAAACGTTGGTTTAGGTGACTGTAGGATTTTTGCAATTGAAATATGTAATTTTTATATGAGTCAACTGTCATAGAATTAATACATGGGTACAGTTTTTTGGGATTCCGAAACGTTTAAAAGCAATCAACGAAATTGTTCAACCAAGGTGTGCCTTTGGCTCGTAATTTTTCATTTTTTTCGGACGCAATATTTGAACAGGAATTTTAAAATATATGTGTAATGATAACAATAAAGTTCTGTATAAAAAGATTCTCTAGAAGTAGGCTCTGCCATAAATGTAAGGCGCGGACCAACATTACAATATTTTATATTTTACTAATAACTTATGCAGATATAAAGAACTGCGATCGATAGTATTGTTCTACCGCCTACCTCCAAGTCAATTTTCAAAAGTTAAGATATTCGAATGATTTTTAATATTTATATTGATATTTATATGGATTTTCATAAAACATTACTTCTTTGGGAAAACAACGAGAGATAACTCTAAAATTTTGGTAAAACTCGTGTTTTTTTACTATAGAAATCAACGGAAAACGGAAAATATTTTTAAAACATCTTTCCACCCCTTGAAACAAAAATACCTTTTAACGGGTAATATGGACTGTCATTTCACAAATTCATACCAAAGCTTTTTGTGTTTCACGGGGGGGGGGGGGGGACATATGTTTATATACAAAAAACGACAAAAATGCTTATTTTTTCAGCAGTTTCCAAGTCCTTTACAACTGAAACATTATATTTTACTAATATATATGCTGAATTTTTATATGCATAAAACATAAGAAAAGATTTAAGAAACATTTATTCATATCCAAGTCTATTTCAGAATATGGTGATGCTTTATAGCCCAATTTCAGTGGAAAATATCCTCTACCCCCCTTATTTCAAGAGCTGGAATTAGCCATATTTTACTATTTAGCACTGGAATTAAAATAATTAATCAATTACCATTGAGCTGTTCTTTGTATTAAACAAAGATTTTATGGCATTTCTATTGTTTATTTGTAAAGTTTATTTTGTTATTTTACAGGACGATGACGTAATCGGGAGGAAATGATCCCAGTATCTGCTTCATCTATCTGTCTCCTTATAATTCATCTTATACTCATCCGTAAGTAACCTCCCGCATTCGTCAAAATAAACAAATAATTCGCTTCACTCAATACCCCCCCCCCCATTAACCCGTCTGACTTTCATCTGGAAGCTAACGCTCATGCTCCTTACTCTCCACAAATCTACACATGAATTATATGAACTCATCTCCCCCCCCCCCCCCCCAAGACAAAAAAATCACACAATCCCGAGTCATACCCCCATCCCCGGCAGATGTACCAAACAATCTCCTAAACATTTAAATATGCAGATAACCTAACCCCGTTATTACCTAACCATGTACCTCGCCCGGTCATATGAATTATTAGAATATATATGCATGCAGGTAACCGATCCCCTCCCCCACCCCCTCACACACACACCACCAAACCACTCCTGTACAGTTTGAGTGTAGAGTATATATACCCGCTCAGTATAGTTGTACTTTAGCCAATGCCTGCTTATCATTTGACCGTGTGTCCTTACTTGCTCTATCTGCCGGGTTATATTTGCTAAGTCTATATTTAATTGTAGATGGTCAAACAGAAGTGACCGATGGTTCGTCCAGGCAGAACCAATATGAGTAAGTATTACATGTACCGATCACCAAGGTGTAACCATGCAGGTAATCTGTCAAACACGGGTCATCAATTACCATTCCTTGTTGTAGAAAAGGGAATTTGTTCAAAATATTCTAAGAAAGTGTGGATTTATAACATTTTATGCAAGAATCTAACAATTTAAAACTTGTTTCATGATTTGTAATTTTAGATTCTTCACCCAAAATTTTAATTTTAAAATAAGAAATTTTGAAGTTTTTAAAATCTTGAATTTTAAATATTTTATTATATTATCATATTATATATTATATTATATTATATTTGAAATATAAAATTCTTAAACTCTGAATAATTTTAGAAATTTGAATTGTTTTTATAGCGTACAATCCCCAGCGGTCGGCTGTGCCTTGTCGGTCTCTGATATATAATCTTTTCTACCTATGTTTCAGTACTGAAGTTACCGCCATCATTGTGACCGCCGTGATGTGTGGTCTGGGACTCCTCATCTGTTGTACGGGGATCATTCTATGTTGTTACATCAAGTGCTGTACCGGAGGTAAGTGTACAATATAGGGGCGGATCTATAGCAAGTGCTCTACCAGTCAATGTGGGGGCGGATCTATTGTTAAATAAAGTGTTGTGCCGGTGGTGGAATTAATAGAAAGTGCTGTATTGGTGGTAAATAGTACAATTTAGGATCTATGGAAAGTGCTTTACCAGTGGTTAGTGTACAACATAAAGGCGGATCTGTAGCAGTGATGTGCCGCTGTTAAGTGTGTACAATATAGTATAGCTAGGGGCGACTCTATGGTAACATCAAGGTATGTACCGGTCGTAAATAGTACAACAAAGGTGTGGATCCTTTTTTACATCACGTGCTGTACTGGGGGAGGTGATATGAGATAGGGGTGGATCTATTGTTAGATCAAGTGCTGTTCCAGTGATTTAGTAGTATAACACAGAAAAGTATAATGTATTTCAGAATTCAAAATTCAGCATGGAATGTTACGGAATAGTTAAAATATGTTTTGGAATGGAAAGATGAGGGCGGAAGGAGAGGGTTGGCGTTGCATAAACTTTCATTTTTCGATTTTCGATTTTCATCCCGGCTTGATAATATGTACATATATGTTACATAAAAGGATAAATTTTAACTAATATCATCAGACTTTTAAAGATAATTTGAATTAGAATTCATGTTTTTTTAACGTTCATCATAAAATGTAGAAAATAGTTCTATATTTCACTAGATAGGGACTTTTTTTTATCATTCTTTTTAATCAATGTAAAATATTTTAAATATACATTCGTATGATTAAAGCTAGATTAAAGCTAGAAAAGCACACATCTTTAAAAAAAAAAAAAAAAAAAAAAAAAAAAAATTAAGAAAGAAGAAGAACTATTTTCCTACCATCGTCGCAAACCACGGTCAAAATGTACGATCCTCGCCCATTCTGGTAGATAGCTATATGCGGACTCCGGACCGTGGCTTGAGACGATGTTTTCCTACCCACTTTTTCATGTACTATCTGTTTTATTTTATTTATTGTTTAAATGTGAGAATTAAGTTGTAAAGATTACTAGATGATTTTAAAGCATTATAATTTCATGTTATTTTGAAGATTATATATATACCTGTTTTTATACTGAGTTCTGAAGTAAATTGTAAAATTTAAAGTAATTTCTTTTTCAGAGGGCTGCATCATATGACATCATGTTGAATGAAGACATCCTTCCACTATTATTGCCTCTGTGTAAATGTTAATTTATTGTCAATTTGACTTTGTTAAATAAAGAAATAAATCGATATAGTCTTATTTTTGCTTTGGAAAAAATTACATTTTCATGTGCATGCTTACTAGAAATTTGAATTTTATAAACAGAAAATATAGTTCGTATTTCCATTCTTAAAAATGACGTTTTGCAAGTCCTTAAGGGCGGATCAAAGATGTTGAGCATCCGGTATTGTGTTGCACGTGGGACAAGAACGACACATATACCTTTATCTTCGATTTTAAAATGAATTGTTCTAAAATAATGAAATTTTGGAATAAAAATACATATGGAGGAAAAACTTCAATGTAAATGCCCACTGTAAAGGTAATTTAATTGGAAAAGGAATCGCTTGAAGATATTTTATCGTTTCTTGTGAAATTTTAATTGATGATATTGACAATAAAATGCTCTTTAAAAAGCCAAGCTAAGTATCTAAGGAAGAGGAAGAAGAATTATTGTAGTTTACCAGTTAACCAGTTTATTAGTATCTCTTTGGTTGTTATGTTGTAGTAACACAGATGTTTTATTCATTAATTTTAAAACTCGCTACCTAGTAAGCAAAAAAAAAAAAAAAAAAAAAAAAAGAGAAATAATGTGTATGCATATACATGAAACATAAAGCTCTAGCTGTCCAAATTATCAACATAGCCATAATTGCCTTTATTAAAGTAAAAGTCAAACAATTTGTTGTTTCATATGAAAGTCGACACTGAATTAAATACAAATAAAGGAGAATCTCGTCCCTCCCTCCTCCCCTCTCTCTCTCTCTCTCTAACAATGTTAAATCGTAACAGAAAATAGACCTACAAGCACTTTGGAACCAATTTCAATTACTTGAAGAAAAGAAAAAAAAAATGATATTTTACAGGACCGATCAAATCGGTCGAGATCGAGATACAGAAATTCTGAAATGAAAATAGAAGCATGGCCAGCAATGCCAACGGAGATGTTGTGCATTTGAATTTATTTCAAAAGATTTGGTAACTTAAGGTATGCATTTAAAAAAAATGACAAAAAATGAGTCACTGCAACAGATTTAACACGTGAACGCCGGTTGACAATACAGACAGCAATCTAATTTTATCATTAGAGTTCTGGATATATTTTTGATACATTCTCTAAAATTCCACAGGTAGCTTCCCTACAAATTAAGTATAAATACTAGATAACTCCTTTTGCAAAATAAAAATATTTTTCACATCTATTTTCTCATTTTATCAGGAATGCTATTTTTTACGACACATATTAAAAAAAAAGATTTCGAATGTGACGTGTATTTGACAGCTTTTCAACTTGGAGATGTAAACTTTGATTGACATTATGAAGACCCTGAGTAAAATCTTAGTGACAGCTGGTGCTGTGAGTGTGGCGAGTACTGCTTACTTGTTGTATAAACTGCTGTCCAGTTCTGAAGGTAGGTTTGTTTTTGTTTGAAATTTCATATTAACTCCTATCAATGATTTTTTTTTTATTTTATTACACTAATATCAACTCTAAATAAAAATATATAAATCTAAGAATATGTGTATTCTAGTATATGCACAACATGTTAATGCTTGTGGTTCATATAGTGAATACAGGGAAACTTTTACTTGTTGTTTAATGTTCTTCTCAAGAATTTTTCACTCATATGGAGATGCCACCACTTGCTCGTGGAGGGCTGTAAATTTAGATCTATATTTGGCACTCTTGGCCATTGAGCAGTGAAGGGTCTTTTTCATGTCAGCAACTCCTGTGACACGGGACATAGGTTTATACAGTCTCATGGGAATTGAACCTGCGATGTAAGGATCAACTCCTTACACCTGAGATTCTAGAGCAAATGCTCTAACCACTGCGCCACTCAGGTGACTTAAACCTTTCGAGAATGAGCCCCAGAAAAACTAATCCATGGAATGGAAAAATTCAACATATTTTCTGGACATCCTTTATTTGCTTCAAATTGATCTTCTATCTTGACGTTCAGAACTGAGGGAGGGGGGCCAACCTCCAAAAAAAATCTGACTAGCAAAAAAAAAAAACTTAAATGGCGAAATCCTGGATTTTGCCAGTGCTCGACCTTACACCCCCCACCCCCCACCGCAATAATTGCTCATTAACAGTAATAATTGTGAGGTGTTTCAAATGAAAACAATACATATGCTTTTCTGATGTTGCTGCATCTGTTGAGATGCACACGCAGGTAGGTTAAGGCTTCCCGTAGCATATCACAGTGCACTCTGTGCCTTCACATCTCTGAACTACCAAAATATGATGTCATAATGGAAAATGACGTCAGGTCACTGCAAACTTGAGGTGTTATAACGGGGAGAGTGTCATGAACTTTACACTTTATTTCAAACTGCATGTAAAATGCTAGATGGCTATTGCAAAATTCACGGGTTGTTAAAGGTTTTTTAAGTCTTATATGTCCGAATATTTTAAAAATACACCGCCTACCTACCCTTGATTGAAATTCAGCATGTTCAAAATGCTTATGAAAAATATACTTTTGAAATGTATTCTGTTTTATACTCGTGGTTGGATGTAGAATTTATTTTGTGTGTATAAAAGAGTCTGGCGCAGGTGATTAATGAGGATTAATCCTTAATTTTTGTGGAAATCTGTAAGAAGAGGTTGTTCTCTAACTGAATCTTGCTTGGGAAAAATGTGTGTTGGCTTTGTTTTAATACAGATTACAGTATTGTGTGGAAAATACCCTCAAATTTGTAGGTAAGTTGAATTTCTCAGGAAATATTTTGTATCTAAGTAATACTATTACTTTTCCCAAGCACATTTCGGATACACAAGGATACGATGAGTTTATTTATATGACAGAATGTTAATTTAAAATAATTATTGTGTTAATCAGCTGCGCCGAAGCGATTTATATGAAACACTTCAAAAAATTATAAATGACCATCACGTGATCAACAAAGTCATATGATATCATAACAAATATGTTAATATTGAGCCGAGGAAACCCTCTATATAAATTGGAAGTACCTAAGTTCAATACTTATAAATTAAAACCAATACCGACCTCGCAATGGCATATTATGTTTTGAGCACATTTTAAAGCTTCGGGAAGCCTTAACATAGCTGTGCATTGATTAAAATTATGGGTCCTGAGCAAAATTAGTGTGAAATTTACATAGGATGCACATCGAAATCAATTGTGAATAATTTCTAATTTTGTCAATAAGTACAACAAAATATTATATATTTAATGGATAAATCCCAATTAGCAGACAAAGAATAGAGAATCTTATGCATTTTTTGAAATAAATTCTCTTTTTTTCAAGACAGATGACAAATTCTTCTTTGTTCTTTATATATAGAGGATGACAGTGAGGAGGAGGAAGAGAAAAGACAGACTGCTACATCTAAACAAACGGTCATAGAACTGGAGGTCCCCGCCAAAGCAGCCGGGGGGATCATCGGCAGACAGGGGTCCAACATTAAGGAGGTAGGTAAACAAACCATCAAAGAACTGGAGGATGTTTGTAAATTATAAACCATCATAGAACTGGAGGTCTGCATCAAAGGGGGGGGGGGGTGGAGGGGGGTAAAGGGTCATCATTGGTAGACAGGGTCCTAATTAAGTATTTCAAATCTAAGTTTTGAAGATTCATGGAAATTAAAGAATTTGTTTTCATCATAAAGTTTTTTTTTGTATCTATGACATGAAAGAACAGTGAGGTGAAATTAAAAATCTTGAGAGTAATCTTTGATATACAACAAACTTTCCATAATTACTAATGTTAACTTTGAAGATCCAAAAGACAACAGGTACAAGGATAAATTTCAAAGACGACAACAACAGGTTTAAAGAAGACGATGATAAGCGTACTATAGTCATCAGGGGTACAGCCGAGTCTGCTCAGAAAGCCGAGCTCATCATCAGAGAGTTTGTGGCCAACATGCCTGTCATGCTGACCGAGCAGATGTTTGTACCATCCAGTGCTCTAGGCAGGATCATTGGTAGGTTGTACATTTATCATCAGATGTTTGTACCGTCAAGTGCTCTGAGCAGAATTATTGGTAGGTTGTACATTTATCATCAGATGTTTGTACTGTCCAGTGCTCTGGGTAGGATCATTGATAGGTTGTACATTTATCATCAGATATTTATACCATCCAGTGCTCTGGGTAGGATCATTGGTAGGTTGTACATTTATCGTCAGATATTTGTGCTGTCCAGTGCTCTAGGCAGAATCATTGGTAGGTTGTATATTTATCATCAGATGTTTGTACCATCCAGTGCTCTAGGCAGGATCATTGGTAGGTTGTACTTTTATCATCAGATGTTGATAAGTTGCTTATTCTCTGCAGGGTCATATGTAGGTTGTTAATTTTTGAGATGATCTTGGTAGGTTCTTAATTTTCGACACATCAATTGGTAGGTTGTAAATCATAGGCAGGTCATTTTTACATTGCTATATATACAATGGATGTGTGCTAGGTTGTTAATTCTTAGAGAGATTATTAGGAAAAGTTCTGTTTTCTCTAAATTAGATTCCTTTTCAGTAAATCTGCAAGGGATGATACTTATTATAGTTCAAATGTGATAAAACAAGTGAAGGATATACATAAATAGTGGAACTACACATTTTTGGTGAAGAGAAAAAAAAAATTGAGATCGAAAAATGATTTCATTGGGACTAAATTCTGTTGTTTGAAATTCAAAACCTACAGAATTAAAATTAAAGAAAATGGTATTAGGGAAATAATTTAATTGTAATTTTCTCACCAAAAAAAATTGAAATAAAATTACATCTTATAAGAAATTTCTGTTTAATTTATAGTTTTCATCTCAAGTCACGAACAAAAACATTATATAGCATTTTGGCTTTGTAACTGGTTGTATTTCATTAACACCTGCAGCATTCTGATGTCATCATTTTTTACAAAATACATTTAGGAAGGGGTGGAGAAACAATCAGAAGCATCTCTAGATCAGCTAATGCAAAGGTGTACATTGATCGTACCAAGGATGAATATAGGGATGTGGATAGAGAAGTCCAGATTACAGGGACCAGAGAACAGATTGACTTAGCCAAGGTAAGGATATAGAGAAGTCCAGATTACAGGGACCAGAGAACAGATTGACTTAGCCAAGGTAAGGATATAGAGAAGTCCAGATTACAGGGACCAGAGAACAGATTGACTTAACCAAGGAAGGATATAGAGAAGTCCAGATTACAGGGACCAGAGAACAGATTGACTTAGCCAAGGTAAGGATATAGAGAAGTCCAGATTACAGGGACCAGAGAACAGATTGACTTAGCCAAGGTAAGGATACAGATCTAGAAAAGTCCAGATTACAGGGACCAGAGAAAAGATTGACTTAGCCAGGGTAAGGATATAGAAGTCCAGATTAGAGATTACCTAGGACAGATTTTAAATTACAGTTGAACTTAAATATTTCAAACTCTGATATGTTGAAAACCATGGATATGTCGAAGTGATTTAGAAGTCCCAATCACTTATTCTTTAAGTATTTTACCCCTGATTTCTTGAATCCTCAGATGTCTTGAAGTTTTTTCTTGGTCCCATCGAGTTCGAGATAAGGAAATTTGACTCAACTTAATTTAGGGAGATTTAGAAATTATGTACATTAACAAAGAACAAGGTTCACTTAGGGCCTTTTTTGGCCCTGTGAAATTCAGAAAAACTGAAACTGCTTGGTTTTAGTTGACAATGCATTAAATATCATTTAGACCTTTGGTGACTGCGTATCTATCAAAAATGACGCGATTTTCTGGCTAGTTAATGCATTATGACGTCATGAAATGCATCATTTTCCTCATATCCTAAAAAATTCTACAAAAACAGCCAATTTTTAAAGCTAAATTTCGATATTTAATATAGAGCGCAACCTCTGATCCAAAATATGCAACTATTAAATGATAGAACTATTTCTGAGGATTACAGAACATGTTTTATTTTTTAGATCAGAGGGTGCGCTCATATTATTTCTCTTCTGGAAAAGTACCTAAATATACTTGTTTTCCTAAAAATTCAAGAACATTGCAATTCCATGAAGCCTGTTTTCCAAGACCTTGGCTTTAAGGAGAAAATTTTTAACAGGAAATGAAAGCACTAAGTCTCTACTTTATCTTGATGTTTAAAATGGAACATAAAGTATTAGTCAATAAATCGGTATATCTCCAGGGCCATTATATGCATAAAGTGAACCTAGCTCTTTCTAGATGCAGGGAAAAGATGGACTATGTCAAGGGTACTTTTATAAAGCTAAGAGGAATAGGTCAAATACAAACTAAAAGAAACTAATTTACTTTGGTATTATAGGTAGAAATAAAAGAGGATTCATATAATTGTAGAACAATTTAATGGATTGATCATTCATGCAAATGCTATACGTGGTATCTTTACACAAGTTAAACAATGTGTGATTTTTTCTGTTGTATTGTTATGTTTTCGCAGACATTAATTGAAGAAAAACTCCAAGAAGAGAAAGTATTCAGAGCTAAGAAATCTGTGATGGAGGCCAATCGTGAAAAGCGTAGCAAATCAAAAGTAGACACTGACAGGGAGAAGAGAGAAGCTTTACCATTGGACAAAGAGGAACAAGGTTTAAATCATTCTTGTATAAAACAGCAAAAGCTCAGACACTGTATAATTGCTTTCTTGAAGTAGATGAAAATTTAAATGAACACTAAAGTAATATTAAAGTAACTAAATATTATACTAACATTAATGTAAAAGAAACTAATATGTATGTGTAAAAGAAATTATACCACAGTAACAACCACATTCCTCAAGCCTCAATACTTTAAGGTCAGATGACACATGCCTTAAAAATAAAGATGTCTCCTCAGAATATGGTATTTCCTATATACATGTAATCCTAAAGTGGAAATTACTTAAATTGCTGATACCATGATTTTTATGCCCCTGGATCGAAAGATCCCGGGGGTATATTGTTTTTGTCCTGTCTGTCTGTTTGTCTATTTGTCTGTTTATCTGTTTGTCTGTTTGTCCGTTTGTCTGTTGTCAACTTTAACCTTGCCCATAACTTTTGATTGGTTGGAGCTATGGCTTTCATATTTCACATGTGTATTCCTTGTGACAAGACCTTTCTTTGGGTACCATCATATTTGACCTTATGACCTTGACCTTGGAGTTTGACCCACTTTTGCAAAATTTTATGAGACTTTAACCTTGGCCATAACTTCTCAACAGTTGGTGCTTGGGGTTTCAAACTTCACATGTGTATTCTTTGTGACAAGGCCTTCCTTTGCATACCAACAACTTTGACCTTTTGACCTTGACCTTGGAGTTTGACCTACTTTTGAAAAACTTTAACCTTGGCCATAACATTTGAACAGCTGGTGCTTAGGGTTTCAAACTTCACATGTGTATTCCTCTGGATATCAACCACTTTGACCCTTTGACCTTGACCTAGGAGTTTGACCTACTTTTGAAAAACTTTAACCTTGGCCATAACTTTTGAATGGTTGGTGCAAGGGCTTTCATACTTCACATATGTAATCCTTGTGACAAGATCTTCCTTTCGATACCAACCACTTTGACCTTGACCTTGACGTTTGACTTTTATTTAAAAAAATTTAACCTTGGCCATAACTTTTGAACAGTTGTATCTAGGTCTTTCAAATTTCACAGGTGTATTCCTTGAGACAAGACCTTTCTTTGGGTATCGACATTTTTTATCTTTTGGCCTGGATTTTGACTTGCATTTGAAGAAACTTTAACCCTCGTCATAAGCTGCCATACGGGGGCATCAGTGTTTCACAAACACATCTTGTTGGTTTATGTTTTTCAGACATTTTCAGACATTTTGAAAATAGTTAAGAAATCAAAAGATAATGATTATAATAAAGATTTTTGGTATATATATTACAGAGGAATGTAAAAACAGATATTCAAGGAACATGTCTTCAGGCCTTAAACCGGAGAAACTGTTCAGTAGATGTTAATCATGTTAATTAAAATACTTTTTCTTTTCAGTACCAGAGACCTCTAACCTCCATGTAGAGAACACCTGTCCCTGGCCGAGTGGGAGGGAATATGTAGAGGTCTATGTCTCCTCTGTTGCCAACCCTTCAACATTCTTTGTACAGATTCTGACCTCTATGTCTATACAGCTGGATGAAATGGTCAAAGATATGTCACAGTATTATAGCAAAGAAAGAGAGGTAATTTATGTATGTTAACAAAATGGTGGGTTGTAATTCTTGTCACAGTATTATAGTAAAGACAGAGAGGTAACTTATGCATGTTAACAAAGTGTGGGGTGTAATTCTTGTCACAGTATTATAGTAATGAAAGAGAGGTGACTCATGTATGTGAACAAAAAGGTGGTAAATCAAGTCACAAAAGGGAGGTAATGCATGCCACATAACTACAGTAAAGAAATGGAGGTAATTCATGTCACAGTACTAAAGTAAAGAAAGGGAGGTAATTCATGTCAGAGTACTATAGTAAAGAAAGAGAGTGTGTCTTCAAGAGAGGGGGTGGGGTTACACTAAGGGAAGAGAGGTAATTCATGCATGTAATGTAATTGTGGTGCATGTGAGGAAAGGGAGGTAATGCATGTCACATTAATATACTGGAGTTTATAAATGTAATCAATGTATGTCAACAAAAGGGGATTATTCATGTCTCATAAAAGGGAAGTAATTCATGTCACATTACAACAGAAAAGAGAGAAAGGTTATTCATCTATTTCATATAAAGGGGAGGGGGTAATCATGTCTCAGAACTACCCTAACAAAAGGGAGGAAATTTTTTCCAGACATATTAAGGGAGGAAGTAATTCAGTACATATTTTTCAGACCTACCAACTCTCCTTCCTGATGTGAGTTGCACCCTCTTAAATGTGCACCATTTTCAACTACAATAACCACCATCAGCAGATTCTTCATTATCTCCCGTAAATTCTATCCATCTTTTTTTAAATCTGACCCATAATACACTCCCAGCTGCTATTAATTATTTAACTTTTCATGCCAACATAGTTGATTATATAGTAACTCTTTCATGAAATGGAAAGGATTATACACATGATGAATATATACAAAAAGGTATCTTATTTACACATTAGATATTGATGATAAACTGTGATGTGATATGTGTTTGCCTATTACACACAGAAGTACATATGTGATATTTTTACTGTGTCTTACAGGTTGACATTGTTAAGACTACACAAGTAGGAGATTTGGTGGCAGCACCGTTTGACCAGGATACTTCCTGGTACAGAGCAAGGGTGTGTGGTTTCCAAGGAGATGATCTTGATCAGCTTGACCTTTTCTACCTTGACTATGGAGACAGCTGTTATCTTTCCAGGACTAAAGTGCGGGTCTTACAGTAAGTTTCTCAGGGTACAATGTTGCAGACCTAGTGACCTCTAAAACATGATTACATTGCAAGCAATCTGTGGCAGGTATTTGTGGATGACAACTATTGAAGTAATTATCATTTAGAAAGAATGCAAACTTCATATTGTCTGGTACTGGAAGATCAATCATCAATATCACTTTGTTCAGTATTATTAAACCAGAAGTCTCTGATGAGACTGTAGCTCTACTGGTTTGAACTTATAACAATTGAAAAGAAACGTAGCAGTGGAACTTGAAACTTTGCAACAGCAATAAATAGAGTCATGATCTTTGGTTTAGTCTCTTTTTGTGGCAAGATTTATTGCAATCATCAAAACTGTAGGAGGAGTAGCCTGTTAAAAGAATCTTACAGAAATTTCGATTTAAGTAACCATGGCAACATCATTCAACAAAATCAAAAAAAATAAAGACAATTATGTATCTTAGTGTAGTGTAATTGTTTGCCAAGTTATACTGAAATCAGATCAAAACTGTAGGAAGAGTAATATTTTGAAAGTATTTCACACAAATGTCTATTTTTAGTAACCATGGCAACACCGTAAATTGAAATAAAAAACCAATATACAAAATTAGGTATCTTAGTGTAGTCTACTTGTGTGCTAAGTTATATTGTTAAATCAGACCAAAACTGTAGGAGGAGTAGCGTTTTGAAAGTACTTGTCAGAAATTTCTATTTTTAGTAACCATGGCGACACCGTTCATTGAAATCAAAAACCGATAAACAGAATTATGTATCTTAGTGTAGTCTACCTGTGTGCCAAATTATATTGAAATCAGACTAAAACTGTAGGAGAAGTAGCATTTTGAAAAATTGTTTACAGACGGACAGACAGCTTGACAGACAGACGGATGGATGACGGACACCTTACTATCGAATAAGCTCTTCTGGTCTCTGACCAGTAGAGCTAAAAAATGATCTGTCTAATTTAATTTTAAAATAATGATGCTACAGTTGAACTTCCATATCTCGAACACGGATATCTCGAATACCATGGATATGTCAAAGTGTATTGGAGGTCTTTACTACATATTTCTTAAGTATTTTACCCTAACTATCTTGAACCCTCGGATATCTCAAAGTTTTTTCCCAGTTCCATCAAGTTTGAGATAACAAGATTTGAATGTATTTTGATTTTTTAAAATTATTAGCCAATTTTTTTGTGAATCAAATAGTTAGAACTAGACAACTTATTTATTCTCTTGATATGTTATGAATGTAAACTTCTGATGTGTCACAGTTTGTAAATAATGTTTCTTAAGAGAACAAGACTAGAATGCAGTTTAAATATATTTTTTGTCTCAAGTCCATATCACAAATCCATTCAGTCTGGACTAACTGTTAAATAGCAGAGACTTGCTTATACTTGTAGTACACTGATCTCTCAAACAGTGATATATGGTGACATTAAATTCTAATGTTTAAAAAGTGTTAAAATGTCATTGAATTTATTATGAGTTTGCAGACTTTCTATGTTTAAGAGTTCAAGCTCAGCAATAATCAAAAATCTGAATAAACAGTTAAAACATCCAATTAAAATCAGATCCTTTGATCCACTTTCATTGATTGCTACACAAGGATCTGAAGAAACCCCATTCAGGGTCATCTCCTGGTGACCTTTCAATTATCCAATCAAACGTTCACTGGCAATAATTTAGAAGTATCTCAGAATTCACTTACAGAAGTATAAGTCCTGGTGATACACAAACGGAAAATTGTGACCTGGTTTCTGTAGCCTGTAAACAGAAAGACCATTCTTTTCTGCACAGAAATTTCATTAGTATTTGCTTTTATCTTGTTTTCCTAGCTCTTTGATTTGTACGAAACATTTTAAAAAGTAAGATCTTCTCCACAGCATCTTTCACTTCTACATTCATTTTTCCGAATATCGATCGAGTACGAGCTCACAGATTGGTCAAAATTTTAATGAATATTTTTATTAGAAAGGTGTGTAGCAATCTTTGTGAGCGAATCAAAGTATCTAAACTTAATCAGATTGCAGTTAAAAAGGCCTTTCTTCAAATAATTGGAAGAGGAAAAAAGCTAACAGAATAGAAAGATACATATCTAGTAACTGAATGCAGATTTGAGGTTTTACATATCCTACTGGTATATCTTTTATTCAGACCAGACTTCTTAAGAATTCCTTTCCAAGCGGTTGAGTGTGAGATGGCAAATGTTTGTCCAACAGGTGAGATATACATAATACTTGTAAAATTTTACTTGCATTTGATCATTATTTCAAGGGCAAAAATCTCAGAATAAAATATGAGAATTAATCCATGGAATTAAAAATAACTGATAAAATAAAGTTGAATATCATAATGTCTTCACATGAATCTGTATATTTTTACTTTACATAGAGTAAGTTATACTGTAATTTGATGGAAGTGTTTGCACATGATGCAGTTTTTAAAGCAAATCTTGAAATAAAAAAGCATTATTTTAAAAAAAAAAGTGATTCAAAAGATTTTACTTGTTAAATGATCTTTTGTGCACAACAAATGTTAGCAATTTCTGAAAACAAGAAAATCAAATGACCAAATATATTATTTCTTTAATCACCATTGAACAAAGCAGTCTATGCGAAAGTTTTTTGGACCACACAGGACATTCAGTCCTGTGTAATCAATGAACATACAGGACTGAACCAAATTTTGTCAGACCAGAAAACCTAATGAAAAAAAGTGAAATACGTGAAAATGCAGAACCAAGGAAATCTTATTACTGTAGATGGTCCATGCGATTTTAATCACATTCATTTACGTATTTGGATTTGTGCGATATTTTTTTACTTACGACAAACATTTGAATGACTCTGCGTCAAAATAATAAAGCTCAAAACCAGATGCTGAGACGTCGGACATTCTGGTCCGGTGTAAAAATTGACGCATCGGACCAGAGGCAAGCACGTCGGTCAGGTCCGACGGTCCAATGTCTTTTGCATAGACTGACAAAGAAACTGTGAATGTTAATTGCCATAAAAAAAAGAAAGTAGAGGCAATAGAAATTAGCTTCAGTATTCACTAATACAATGGTTGCATGCATGAGGCAATGCTTAAAGCATTTGCTCTAGACCTACGGTATGGGGAATTGATCCTTACTTTGCGGGTTCAAATCCACTGTTTCATGTGAAGGCCGGTCCTTCAGATGAGACTGTACAAACCAAAGTCCCATGTCATGGTGCTGGCATGAAAAAGAACCCTCATTGCTCAAAGGCCCTGAGTGCAGAGTACAGATCTAAATTTGCAGCCCTCCACCAGCAAGATTAGTGATAGAGCTCTTGATTTTCTATAATTGGGGCCGTTAAATTGCCCCATTCCCAATTCAAAAAAGGAACATTTTTTCCCAATTGAATTTTCCCAATAGTCATTGCTCCTAAACATTAAAGAAAATGTAGTTGCATATATAATAACAAAAATTACTATTCATATTCCTTTGTATTGCAAAACAAAAATTATGTTGTCAATAAATACCAGAAACCCACTATTTCTTGATTTTAAAGTATAATGGTTATCCAAAACTCCTCAAAAGGTCGCTATTTTCTCAATCTTTATGGCTCTTGCCCCATTCCCAAAAAGTGGTGCAAGAGCCCTGGGTGAGTAAATTTGAAAGGGATGTTAGACATACAATTAGACAAACGCTAATAAAGTATCATTAATGGGTAGTATATCTTACAACCTCTGTGTTTTGGCCAGTAGATGGTGATGCCTGGGAGGAGGCAGTAGTTGACAGATTTGAACAGATGACTTACTCTGCGATGTGGAAAGTCCTGATGGCAAGGCTAGTGGAGATAAAGACTCTATCCACAGGGGAGAAAATCCACATTGTGGAGCTGGTGGATACAAATGGAGAAAAGGTCAGTAGAAGGATTTCTCTAGAGATCATTGTATCAAAGTTGTTGAGGTTCCTTTACTCATTGATGAGAGAAATAACTATAACAGGAATAAATGATTATTATTTTGTAAAATTGTCAAGAGGCTATTCCTGTGAAATTTTACCCCACAAGATATGCTGATATTGTGTGCTTTTTATTTATATAAAATAAGATTTATTTGGGAAAAATCATTGAAGTTTAAGAAAAATTTTATATGAGTGAGCAGAGGGAGCCTGATAGACAGCTTGTAATGAAAACCAGATTTACAAGTGTGTATGTTTGTAATGGAAACCAGATTTACAAGTGTGTATGTTTGTCATGGAAACCAGATTTACAAGTGTGTATGTTTGTCATGGAAACCAGATTTACCAAAAGTGTAGGGTTGTAATGGAAATCAGATTTGCAAGTGTGTATGTTCGTAATGGAAACCAGATTTACAAGTGTGTATGTTTGTAATGGAAACCAGATTTACAAGTGTGTAGGCTTATAATGGAAACCAGATTTACCAGTGTGTATGTTTGTAATAGAAACCAGATTTACAAGTGTGTAGGCTTGTGTTTTACTCTGTACCAGTTTATTACATATATTTAACAAACAATCTTGTATGACAGGCATTGATTCAGTAAATCCTCTGTTAAATTATCTATGATATTTCATTGTTTTATTAGATAGAAAGTACAACTGTTTATGTACTACACCAAAAAAAAGTGTAGAATCAACTGCAGACGTAAAGAATCACATTTTTAAATATGAACAGGATTAAGTGATATCAATTTTACTGATTACCTGTATGTGTCTTTAGTTTTACATCATGTAACATAATAAACAACAGAAATATACAAGTAATGACCTCCTCAACCAATACAAACAACTTTTAATTATCTCTCCCAATATTGCTAATAAAGAAAAAGTTTTGAATAATTTTCTGTCTGCCCTTTTTTTTTCAGGATATCAATGTTGGGAAAAAGTTGTGTGAAGAGGGACTGGCCAGGTGGTGTGAATTGTGAAGTAAAAAAAGAATCATTGAAGCATAAACAAATAGAGAGAGAGAAAAGAGAGGGATGGGAGAGACTACTAAATAATGCCCTGTTATATTTTGAATGCTTTTTACACAAAAAAATTGTAGACATCTTTGAAATGTATGGCATCTTTCTGTATTTTGTGAGTACAGTAAAACTTGTGTAATCAGGACACTGTGCTTCAGAGAAATTTGCTGAATTAGATAGCATTTCAGATTAGAAAATATTTTAAACAAATGAATTTAATGAAAGGGACTAAAAAGTTTCAATGTAACTGGAAAGATGGTGGAATACACCGCATCTGGATTAGTCAAGTTTGACTATTTTACTGTTTACTCTATATTCAGTTACTGAACATAGAGAGGATTCAGATTGTTCAAATGCCTAAAAGCATTTTAGTCATTAAGAAAATCAGCATTTATACTGTATGCTGTAACAGAATAAAATTTTACAGGAAGACTTAAATACGAATAATTAATACATTATTGCAAAAGATGCAGTTGGATATGCCGACAACTTCATGGTGATTTGATTCAGTTTTCCGTATCCAGGGACCTTTTGTCAAGGTTCATTGATCCACTGATAAGAATGATAACTCTGATTGGGAAAACAAAAAACATCTAGCATTGCCTAATAAAATGGTCAAGTTGAAAATGAAAAATTGCATTGGTATCTTGAAATTGTGTATGTTTTTTAAAAACTTTTTTTTGCATATCGGATTACTTCTGGAAATTCTTGAATGTGAAAGCAGGATTTTATTAGCTGCAATAATGTAGCCCTCTCTGACTTTTTTAATCTTTCAGGAGAGGGCTACAATTCCGTTATGGTACAAATATATTTTTAAGATACGGGCGACTGCAGGCAAAATAAATTGTTTCTACATACAACTTACTTCCAATAAGACGGAATTTTTATTCACTATCAACATCATAGCCCTTTATACGCGAAAACCAAGTAAAATAAATTTGCATGTTTACCAGTCGTTCTCAGCAGCCATGACAGTTCTCGCGTGATGTTACCGAGACTTGTGCTTGAAATTTAGAATCACCTGAGAAAGCAAATGTCGGTGTTGATAAATGATTGTGTTGTATGATAGCACAAGACATCGATAAATAAAAGTATTCCATGAGATTTTTTCATAAAAAGTGATATTTATGTTTAAAATAAGGGAAATCCTAAATAGATCCACTCCCCTAGATCCCGAATTCTCATTGGTTGTCCGAAAATAAAATCGATCAAGGTCAGTAAACATGGCGGATAAATTCAAGTTGTGTTGTTGACATACACGAAAAATAACCGATATACGGATTGTTCTGTATATTTTTGGATCAATTCATGTCTTGCATAACTGCATTTTATGAGTTCAATAAAATGCCCACTTACTGATGATTTGAGTGAATCACTCCCGCACTTGCAACATTACGGATATGCTAAGGAGTTGTTGTTCCCCCCACCCCCACCCCCCAAAAAAAATAAGAACGGAGAGGGCTACATTATTGCAGCTAGGATTTATATGAGTGAGTTAAGGGATGAATAACCATAATGTAAAGCCAGAGTAAGATCTTAGAAAATTTTAATACCAGCTATATGTAAGAACTTTGCCACAACCTATATCCTATTGTTTTGTTGGACTATTAGGTATTGTTTGGCTCAATTTAAATAATATATCGTATTTTTGTTTTCAAAAAAAAAGTCATTTTCGTACTTGATAAAATTCTGAATCTCAGGTTTCGTATATTTTCATGTACATAAATGTGTCAAAAGTCTTGTAGGCTTTTTGCCACAACAAAATCTTGACTGTAGTGGACATTTATGACTTACAAGCACGTGTTGTTTTTGATTTGATTTTTTTGAATTCTCTTTTACGATTTACTTCATTGGCATCTAGTCATTATCTAGTTTGCTACCTAGTCTTTATGTATGTTTGTAAAAACCTTGCCTAACACATCATTCATCATAACACTTAATATGTACCTGTGCTGACGTATTTGTATTATGAGAATAATCAAGATGTGCTTTCCTCCATCTATATACAGTGAAATCTGTACACGTTTTCCTGTGCAATCCGGACCATGGCTATTCTGACACTAAATTTGCCTCCCATTGCACGTTGGATTAGACGGCTCTAGTATGAAAATTATTTCAAGCATGCATTGAATTTCCGTTCTAGGAAATTCTATATTTTACTTCGTGCCCTTATGAGAGCGTTTTATCCCCCAAAAGAAATACGGCTTTCCCCCTTTATCTTGTTTCTAACTAATGAAAGCTGAATATTTCTGTTTATATGTCATGTACTTACACAAGGTAATTGTTTAATGTGTTGATAAAATTGTGTTTTGAAGATCTGATATTGTCCATGTTTAATTTTGAATTCCCTCTCCAAATTTTCATGTTCTTCCATGGGTTAAAAAGGCAAATATTCACAATTTCTCTTAATATCACACTCTCAGGTTGTTGTTGATGGAAGTAACTCAATATCTGTATGTCAGTTATCTGTCTGTATTTCTAATGGCTTTGACTATTAATGAGGTTGTAGTACAGATAAAACCCCTTACGTAATGACGGGATCTTCAGTAAAATACTGTAAGTGTATTATTTTTAGCAGGTGCAATATTTGGCTGAAATTTATTTTTGAATAAGTAAATGTAAATTTGAATTTGCACGTCTTTCGAGTGATATGAGAAAGTATGTTCTGATATAGGAAAATGCTTGAGCACCATGTGCAAATCTTGGTTAAAGTTGTAATTATGAAAACTGCAAAACTTAAAACGTCAGATCTGTCTTATTGAAAAGGAAATAATTTAAACGCAGTTTTGCGACTCCCTTGAAGTCTTAGCATAATGCAACTGCATGTAGACACCACATTACAGAACTTTCTTGTGGTATGATAATTTATTCATGTGACACAAATGTGTGGCTGCCCGACAAGGTTTATCTGTTCTCCAAATAACTGAGGATCTTTGATGATGCACATTTATGAAATCTTGTTTAATGCATTCATCCTGTTGACATTCATGTCGAAATTTTGGAGAAGCTTGTACCATATCCAGAACTTATATTTTATACAAAAACAGATAAAGTAACTGTGACAATGTTGTGATATTTGAATAGCATACAAATTTAGTTGAAATATTTTTGTATCCTGGTTTGATTTCCCTGTATTAATTTACTTTTGATAAACCATCAATATTTTATATTTGCCAGGGCTAACATTCAGTTTGAGTTTAAAATTCTGTTTTATTAAAGAAAATAATGCACACTTTATAGGCGTTTGTCCTTATTTTGGTCAGCAACTCAGTTGACCTTGCTTTCTGTTTTATTTCCGTCACCTTGCGATGCGATATCAAGACATGCAGTATCCTATTGTTATAAACTTTTGAAAGTTTTCACCTTTTTCCTCAAATGACTGAGCTTATTCCAACCAATTTTGATGTGTAGAATTTACTAGTGGAGGCGGAGAAACCATGAAAATTCATTAATCCATCCCTTAAGAGTTTGAGAGGTGGGATCAAAACCAGAAGAATCGAGCAATCTTGAGAAGTACTCTTCCACTGACCTGGAAATCTAATAATCTGTTTGTTTGGTTGAAATGACCACTCAACTCTTCCATTCCTGATCCTTTCAACAATTTGATATAGCATGTATCGCGAGCTCTTGTGAGTGAAACCAAATTGTTTGCACTATGAAAATGCATTACACGTTTCTTTCCTGCTTTAGCCATTTAACAGCCAGACTGCACGAATATTTGATTTGAACATATTTTATTGCAGTTATGATATATGCAATGGCATTGGACACAAGTTCCTAAAACTCAACTCGCCCTTTGACCCTAAGATATTTTTATAACATGCTATAAAGTGAAATATAAAAGCTTTGTGTTAAAGTAGTCATCCTTCTAATCTGTCACAAAAGCAATTTGACAATTTTTAAATTAATTGATTGATCTTTAATATCCTTGTTTTATGATACTTCATAATGCAGAATATAAAGATATGTTTCAAATTCATCTAGACTATCTAATTATGAATTTGTTTGCCAAGAATTGATTTGTTTTTAGTTTTACCTCAACTAAAAGGTGCTGACAGACAAAAAAATGTAACTTTTGGATTGAACAGTTTTATTTGATCCACTTTCATGAATATATTGCATGCAGGAAATGTGGAGATTACGAATAGTATTCAAGCTCAAAGTCCATTTTAACAATACAAATTAGAAGCAGAGCAAACACGGACCTCCAAAAAAGATCATAGGTGGGGTCAGATGCCAATGAGGAGTGAACATCCCCTACCCACCCGTCACACCCGCTGTGTGTTCCTTGATCGGGAAAAACGGAATGACTTCCAGAATCACTGGTCTGCACTGTAATAATGCATGATCAAAAATCGGAAAAAATGAGAAAATTTTAAGGTGATAATATTACAAAGCTTTGCCTTTTATACGAGGCACCATTTTCACTTGTTTTAATTTTTTTTTTTGATTTTTTTAAAATTTGAATTTAAAGTCTGAATACCAAGTGATTTGATTTATTAATTTTTAATTCTTTATTTTTCATGTTTTGGACGTGAACAACATAGATGATGTAATATGTTTTCCAAGAATTTTATACCTTCACACCTGTATCTAGCTACTATAAGCATCTAACAAATCCCATTAAGCACATTGTGGCAAGCGACAGCTTTTGTGTCCATTTCATTTCCACAAACCCAGAAATACATGGAAAATAGAATGGACACAAAACTCATGGCTTTTGATGATGATTAACGCAAAACATGAATCCAGGAAACATCTATGGTTAATTTTTTTTTTTTTTATTAAAAACAAGTTTAAGTGTGTGCTATATTAACATGTTTTTTCCCGTCTAAATCTAAATCAGCATATCCCAAATGTACATGTATATGCATAGCTTTGCTTTTCTTACCTCATGTAATTCTGTTTTTGTTTCTTTCTGGGATTGGTTTTAAAAAGCTAAATATCATTCTACAAACAGAAGTTACAACGCTACATTGAGATCATATTGATTTTAGATCGCGTAGATATTCTTTAAATTTAAAAATTTGTAATAAAAAGGTCAACTAGATCTAAGTTTAAAGTTTGATTTTACTAAATTGGTTTCATTTCTTTCCATTACCCCCGAAAGAAAAGGGGGTTTTAGTTATTAATTTTATCAAACTT